TGCATCAAAATAAACTATTTCCAGCAGTGCAATATGAGTCCTAAGCATCCCAGAAACTCTGACCGGCTTTAAAGGGTTATTGAACTATTACGTGGGTTTGTGCAGGGACCACAAAGAGATGAGACACAAATGAGTTTGTCGTGGACAGTTGGGGGGTGTGGCCTATGCATGAACACACACAGACAGCACATTCAACTGCAGACCTAATCTAAACGTCACTCACTTGCTGTGGAAGTCAAATATCTCCTGCATGTTACCAAATATGACGTGCTCTTTGTTAGCAATGCCAGGTGGGATCTCCTCGACGCCGTTGGTCATCTCCCACAGGTACGTCTGACGGGCACACAGAGCAGTCAGCCACACAGCACAAACGTACTAACGTCCACAAAACTAACTCGCTCGTTGTTCTCACCTCTAAACACTCCTGAAGGTCTCTGACGTAGGTCTTCTCTGTCTGCAAGAGCTCTGCCATGATGAACCTGAGAGAGGAAAAGCAGCACAGCTGTAAGGACGCATTCACGTGACGTCAGTGTGCACACTTTGGTTTAGCTAACGTGTGACGGTTCCACAGACAGCAGCCACTCTAACAGAAGAAGTCACTGCAGTAATACCCCCACCGAAAAAGGCGACCTCGTCTGTGGAGTGGCTGCGATCGATCGAGGTGAACGACTGCAGTGACACATGATGGTGACATTAAGGATACTCGTATTCTCTCTCACTCGCTCCTCCTTTCTTTCCAAACTCACTCTTTCTTCCTGGCAGACTTCCTCTTCTCCTCGTTGACCTCATGGTTGGGGTCACGCAGTTTGACCTCCGGGTCGTCAGTCAGGCTGGCGGGGATGGTGTCCAGTTCCAGGTCTTTGTTGTCCTGCACAGAGAACATCATTTCTGCCAGTAATCAGCAGATGTTTGTGGGACTGCACTGACACGAGTGTGTGTTGCTGTCTTCACCTCAGAGCTCATTCCCAGGCTCCTCTCCAGGCTCTCCTGGTATTTGCCCATCCGTGCAGAGAAGTCCCGGTACCTGCGGTCCACCGTGCTCACCCAGCGCTTCAGCTCCAGCACGTGGGCGTG